TTTTTTGTTTGACCTTTTTTCTCTTTATTTTTGTATGTATTTTGTGAAATATTCATTTGAATTGACTCGGACAACATTTAAACACATTCGGAAATTTCAAATAAATATTTACTGTTTATGAGTTTTTTGTTTACAAATTTTCTTAGAATTGTATTTATACAGAATTGCTTTTAGTGACTGTATATAGGTAGAATATTAATCTATTATAAATACTTTTATTTAAATATGGGAAATTTGTGTCAAATATTTTAATCATCAAATAAGAACAAAATTAATTTTTATAGAAAATTAATAAATTATTACTAAATACTATATTTTCTAAAAATTTATGTAAATATTTATATAATATTTGCCATAAATCGTTTGAAAATCGTATTTTAACTGCAGTGTGTTTGAAAAAAATTGTAAATTGGAGCGTAATTGAAACAATTTGAGTTTCTGAACTCAATACAATTCTATGCTGCGTAAATAATAGAAGAAAAAGAAAAGAGTATTGATTCGCTATATGTGTCTGTATATATATATATATTTATATAATATAATTTTAGTCATTAGACCCTCAATGTAATTATCATGACCTACAATTTTGTACTCATAAATAAATAATTTATAATGGTATGATAAATATCACTTTGTAATTATTATTTTTTGTTTTGATTTTTTTATATTGTTTTCATTGATTATATTTATTAAATCGTTATTATATTGTTTTCACATACACACAATATGGCGAAAATTTCCCTTGTCATCTAATAGAACACAAATGAAAATTTATTCATTTTTTTGTTATTTCTATTTATTGAAAAGTGTATTTATTTTTTTATTATTCATTAAGAAAGATTCCTATTACGAGAGAAATAATTAGTTTCGTGCGACTAAGTCATTGGCGAAATTTGAAGGGTTAAGTTCCAAAAATTATTTAAAAATGTAATTAAAATTTATATTCAATATCTATGAATCCAGTATTTAAGTATTTTATTTAACAGTTTATAATTTTTAGTGCGTATATTATTGTATTAAATTTTCTGTAGTTTGTTTATTCGTAGATCTTTTTCTTGAAATTTTTCGTATTACTTCACTGTCCAATCTGCTAATCATGACCTAGAAATAAATACATAAATTACATCCGGAATAGTATATTGTAATGAAATGATAATAGCTATAAGGCTACAACGTTAAGATTAGTATCTGCAACGGTGCGGGACGTCGTGTCAGCGAATAACATAGAAGCTGTTTGCAAAATGTTATACTGAGTTTTCATGACAACGGTGGCCTAGAGAAAGAGATAGAACTATGTTGAAGTGTTCGTGCGGTTAGTCTGTATTTCTGAAGACATTTAAAACAGACGGGTAGAGTTGTCAAAGTGTATTCACCACTTCCGGCCCCGTAAATTTCCATTATTAATGTTCGCTAGTAAATGCAATTATGATCAGGTTTCATTTATTATACGATGTAATTTTTTCATTTTTATTGATGAACTTTTCCTTTAAATGTTTTTGTTTGAATGTTTTCCCATCATATTATATTGTTAGATTTATGACACTGAAAAATATTTTTTATTAGTAATTTAGTGGAAAATTTCAGTATGTGACGAGAAACATTCAGGGATTTCAAATGTTCTCTTATCGTTTACCGTTACAGCTAAATGATTCTTAGTAATTTAGTTTTCAGTGTAGCTTTAATACTGTGCTATAATACTGCGGAAATCATAAGTATCTAATTATATCGTAATGATCAATAGTGGTGTGATATTTATGCACCTTCAATTTATTTATTAGAGAATAAAAATGCTCAACTTGTTAGTTTAGTTTTGATAAAACGATTACAGGATAATGTTTACATTATTATTATACATATATTCATTTTATTTTTATTTAATGCAACTTATAATTTAAATTGTGTAATTTGCAAGATAATTTTGTTACTATTTAACGTAGTTCCTTAATTATATAGATTTTGTATTCTAATCTCAGATTCGTGACCGAATTTAGATTTTTTGACTTTCATTTACAATGTGTAATCTATCATTCACCACTTGATTATTAATTGATATCAATTATCCAACAGATATTGTAAAATATTTAATAAAAAAACTGTTAATAAGTAATTTTCTCTCAAATTTTACTATACTTTGATATAATATCAGTGTGTAGCATTATGATGTTTACAATTTAAATCCGCTTGTACGTATTCGTATATTGAAACATGCAAGTTTGTTTGTAAATATTTAAATTTATGAACTTTAATTGTTAAGAAACATAATCAATAATGTGACTTTTTTACTATAACTCTCGTAATGTTATTATGCATTGTACATTATCATTGAATATTGCTGCTAATTCCCGTACATTTAATTAAATGTTTTAAATTCTATTTATTATAAGTTACGAGTAGCAAGTTTTTAAAGTAGTTTATTAATTATATGTTTATTTTTAATCGGCAATGCTATTAAAACTCTTCATAATGAGCAATTTATATATACAATATAAATTCTAATTATTTAAATTTAATCTGCATCCTACATAAATGTGATTTTCTGTTTATTGGCAATGAAATATTATGTGTTTTATACACTTTGAAAATATGTTGTAACTTCATCTACAGTACTTGCTTATGGCATATCAAATTAACATAAATATAATTTTCAGTTATTCAAGATTTTTGCTAATCCTTTTCGTTGAATTTCATTAAAATTAAAATTAAAAAAAAGTTATAACCCCAAGAGCTCTAGTTCAGACCTCTCCGTTTTTAAGGTTACTGTATAGAATGAAGTTTAATAAATTGAAAGCTTAATAATTTCTTTATTTTAATTATTTTCTAAAAATAACACATTGAAAATTGAAATTACTATATCTTGATTTAATTTAGTAGAAGCTTTTATAAAAAAAAACAGTTTTTTTTTTATAAATTGATGTTAATGAGTTCTGCACCTGGATTAAATTCGTTTTGGTTTTAACGGTTGCGTTTTACTTTCAGCTATATAAATATATTTACACAAATTAAATTTCTATTACGTAATAAATTCTGGCATGTTTTTAAGTGTTTCAAGGTCATGACACTTTCAATTTATTTATTATGATTCAGTAAAATATATTTGTTCTATAAATTGATAGTTTAGAAGAATATGTTCAACTACTTTTTGCTAGGCTTTCTATTCAAAACCTTTTTTAAATATTTTTTCTCCTTTGAAATTGCCAATACAGTCTATACATCGGTCCATTAATGTAGGCGTTCGTTAAAAACGTCCAAAATACTTGCATGAGATAAGTATTCTGCTATCTAACCAGTAACTGTTGAGTATATTAAAATTAATAGAATAAAACACAGATTAAACGGTTATAAGTGTGTATTATTGGATTGCAAGAAGAGAGCGTTAAAGTATGCACTAAATTGATCTGTAGAGAAATATCTGCAGTTGATTGCGACAAAAGAAATCGACGTTCTCTTTCTTTTCGAAGAACATTACACGAGTATATAATTGAGTATTACCATAAATTTATTAATTTTACCTTACGTTGGACACTTTGGACTTATTTATATCTAGTAAATGGAGTGCATTTTCTAGAGTCATAGTATATTATGCGTTTACACCACGAAAAATCGCTTTCAATAATTTACAGTCGATTTCGCGCTTTGACAGTAACGATGTTAAAATAGTATATAATTTTGAAAGTTCAGTTCGTGAACGTTTGTCGATTTATTTATATATATAAATATAAACTCATCAAGATAAAAGAAATCAAAGTCAAGTATAAAACGTAAAAAAAAAAATGTGACATTTTCAAATGTCTATTGATGAAGTGTATTTCGCATACTTAAACGTTTCAAGTAGAAAATCGTTTCGTTCATCAGAAGATCAAAGAATTAGTTTTATCATCATTATTAACTTGCACTGTAATTTTTGTTCCGATTCAATCACAATTTTAATTTTTAATACTATTCTTTATTTTTGCTACGATTATTTACGCTCCTTTACTAATTACTAATAAACACTATAACTAATTTCCTATTTTATTAACTTCAAATAAAAGTATCTGAAGAGCTCTAACAGAAACAAAATAACATTTATTTACATTTTTCAGGAAACTGAAAAAAAACCAGACATTTTTAACATATATCCTTTACTTATCCGATAATTTGAGACACATATTTTTATAATAATTATAAATAATTATTATTTTTTTCTTAGATATATGTATATATCATTTTAATCTTAATTTAAAATCGTCTAATTTTTGAACAAAAAAAAAAATGAAGTATTCATTATTTGCACAGAGCCCTTCAATTATATTTTTAACTATGACTGCTCATTTTGATTACGGTTTATTACATTGTTTTATACTTCGTTAAATATTACTATGATTTAAATTAGATTAGAGTCAAATTGAAATTTAAAATAAATCATTTTTCTTCAGAATTTTAGTAGTATTTCGGGTGAACTTCTAGATTACAACATTCACATGTTTTTATAATAAATAAAAGCGTTTGGAGGAATAAATAAAAATTAAAAAGAGAAGAGTATGGATATAATATATATCATAAACAGTTAATATATATTTTATTATAAAAGATAAAAATTTTCTTAGTAGAACAGTTTTTATTCTTGCTAGAGGCTAATATGTCAAATGTCTTTTGCATTTTTACTTGCGTTTTTTGCTTTTTGTGATTTATATCATTCGTTTATCTTTGTAATGGTATATTATTATTTTTACTTATCATTTTTAAAACAACTTAATTAATATCAGTAACATATTTTAACTAAATTCCATAACTTATTTTCTCATTGTATAAAATATTATAATTTATTATTTATTTATTATTATAAAATATAAAGTATCATATTTAAATAAGATACAATCAATACTATAAAAACGATTACTTCTTACTTGGTTTTGACCCACTATAATTACTGAATTTCTTTGAAATTGATGTGTAATTATGTAATTTATAATCAAAATTAATGAATGACAAATAAAGTAATGAAATATTAATTGTTTCAGATACAATATCACTATGGTTGGATTTAATAAAAAGTGGCAATTACTTGACCTTTGTCCATTATCGTCTCAATCAAGTACTAAGCGTGTATCACTAGAATTTAATTCTAAAATTATCAATAAATGGCTTACGTAGTAACTATTGAAAATTGTCCTATAATGGCCAAAGGTACTATTTTTTTATTAATAAAAATAAATTATATTGACCTGAGTAATTTATATATTTTAAAAATATTTAATTTTAAATAAATTGACCCGAGTTTATTAATCAATTTATATTTAAAGTACGCAAAATTAAAATAATTTTTATTAATTTTATACGTAAGACTCAAATCATGCATATAAATATATAACCGTGTGTGCTAATTTTTGGGAAAAACACAATGGCTTCATTTTTTTTTTTTTTAATTAAAGTTTGATTCTTTTCAAGATAANTTGGGAAAAACACAATGGCTTCATTTTTTTTTCTTTTAATTAAAGTTTGATTCTTTTCAAGATAAAAATAACGATTATATCTGTCGAAAAACAAAGTAATTACAATTAATCATATGAGAAGTATAAGGTTTTTAAAATATTATGGTTGCTAAGAATACTTGTTAAAAATGTAATAAATGGTTTTTTTAACTTTTTCTAAAAGTTTTTTAAAATAGAGTTACTTTTTCTTTAAATAAAGCCCTTTAACTTCATTAATAGACAACGATCCTAAATAAATTATCATCAGTCTTCATATAGTCACAATTAGAATAAAAATTTTAGAGGCTAAATGATTTTTATCTTGCCTTCCTAAAATTTTTTTTTGTAACTATAAAAGTTTAAACGTCTTCTAAATTTTGCGGGGTTCAATTTTTCAATTGTGTAGTTCCTTAACCACTCCTAGTTTCGTTTATGAATCTTACAACATAAATAACATATGTTATAATTATTAACATAATTTTCATGTTGCGTGTATATGGAGATAAATGTAACTGTATTACTATATTATAATAATACTGTTATATTTATATTATTGATTAAAATTAACATGAAAATTTTCTTTTAGACATTATACGGAACCTTAAGCAGAAAGCTGTTGCTTTGCGTCGGCGACTAGGAATTGGTGTGTGTCTGCGTACCGTTTTGCTCATATTCTGCTTGACGTTCTTTTGGGTACAGATGCAAATGTCTGACGTTTCTGACAATGATGTTATACAGATATTGTCCAAACCTGACGGACTGTTGGATGCAAACGATTCCATGTTACAGCTAATTCCACAGGTACGTAACTGTCTTATTGCATTGTGTGTATCCGTATGGGTATATCATCAACCTTCATTGTAAGTGACTTAACAAATGATAGACTAGTGTTAAAAATTTCATTATGCGCTAAAGTGAAAAAAAATGTGAGTTAATTTTATTGAGTATACGAAACAGTTATGTTTTGCATCGGACCTGAATGAACTAAATTTGACTCGATTAGAACTAAGAGAATTCCATTCAAAACAGTTTGTCTTAATAATCCCTCATTATTTTTCAGCATCTTCACAAGTTTTTAGTAACCCCGTCACAACGAGATCGTCCTCATCAAGCCATATTACCTGGAAACAATAGTAATGAAATTTTGGGAGCGCCTAGTTTAAATGCTTCTGAAATTCGTCGACTGATTAACCAAATTAATGAACGACAATATATACAAAACGAAGAAGTTTATGGGCCTTTGCAAAACAACTCTCTAGTAATTGTGATTCAGGTAATATTACAAGTTTTAAAAGTTTTATGATAGTCGCTAGAATCTTATGGGTATAAATATATTGCGTCGAAAATGTGCCTGTAATCGACACGACTTTATAAAACATAATGTCTACCACATTATAAAATTTACCATTTATGCGCAAACAGCTCTTATTACTGGTACAGAATATTTCAAACATTAGCATATTTTAGCTTCGATGCGAAGATGAGAAGGTATTAATTTTACTATGTGTTTTTTTTTTTGTGTCTGTTACCACTTTTTCTCAGCTCTCACCGAACCGATTTCTTATACGTCAAAAGATCACAAATCGTATCTAGTCGAAGGCATTACCCTCAAAAATTGGAAAATTTTCTCTCGTTTACCGTTAATGGGGGGGAACTTCAAAAAAAATTACAAATTTAAAAATCGCTATTTTTTAAAAAATTTTCAATTTTTTTTTTACTTTAACTGCCATAACTTTTTTAAAAATGACCAAATGAATCGAAGCGTTTTTTATGATAGTGATTTTAATCACTGTCAGATATCATCTACACTGGACCCAACTATGCTACGTCTCCACATTGCCACGACCTTACTGTGATGTGATATTTTTTTGTGTTCTCAAAAAAATAGTACATCTAGACACATATTAATTTCATACTACAGCAAATTGAAATAATAAAAATTTTATATTATGTATTTTGGTTCATTTTACTTTTTAAAAATGACATATTATTTGAAGATTTTCAAACTTGTTTACACGTTTTTTTCATTAATAGTTTTTTCCATAATACATTAAGTTCAAATATAAAGAATATATCGTAACATAAAGTATACTGAATTAAAATTGTATCATTTATTTCAATGATATTCATAATTTTAAAGCGCTAGAAAATAAACATCGAGTGCACATAGTAACATCATATTTTAGGGATTTTAAGTATATGCATATTTAGTTCTTTTTTAGGTTTATAAATCTTCTGTCCTAACCTAATATATACTTTCTTTATTTTAAAATTAGGTCCATACTAGGATTATGTACTTGCGACATACCATTGTGAGTTTGGCTCGAGCACAAGATATTGAAAACGTTTTACTGATATTTAGTCATGATCATTACGATGAACAAATCAACGAACTAATTCGCATGATAGATTTCTGCAAGACCATGCAGATATTCTATCCATATTCAATTCAGACACACCCAAACACGTTTCCAGGTGAATCGCCCGAAGACTGTCCACGAGATATAACTAAAAATGAGTGAGTAAAATTTGATTTATGAACTGATACAGTTTTGCATACATCTATCAACTTGTTTAAACTTAAACGGTATTTTATAATTGGCAGAGCGATCAAACGAAATTGTATTAACGCTATGTATCCAGACCAGTATGGTCATTATCGAGAAGCTAAGTTCACACAGACTAAACATCATTGGTGGTGGAAAGCTAATAGGGTTTTCAATGAATTGAATGTCCTAGCTAATTATTCAGGTTTGTCACTAATAGTACAAATTACTTAATATTTCCTATAGAAAGGGTATTATATTATTAAGTTACAAATGACATAGTGGTCTGATAAAATAAATTGTTTTCCCCCACTAAGCAACGCGTAAAACATATTTATGTATTAAATGTACACATTTGATTAATTCTCCATATATGGATAATAAATTAAAATTTAATAAAAAGATATTATTCGTTCGCCAAATTATTTATGATAAATGATTTAAATATTCAGAATAGTTCTGTCAACTTAATTATAAATTCAAGAAAATTATCTACTTGGAGATATTTTAATACTTGTAAGGTTATAATTAACTTTTGTTAAATTTTCATCATTCTAACAAAGTATTTTTATAATCTACTATAAGAAGTGCAATTTTCATATGTATATTTGTTGTTTATGCATTAACTTGTATCAAAAATGTTCAAAACAATAATAATATTTTTTTTAGGTCCTATATTGTTTTTGGAAGATGACCATTTTGTGGCCGAAGACTTCATATATATGTTAAAGCTTATGGTAAAATCAGCAAACTCTGTATGTCCACAATGTAGCATATTATCGTTGGGGACTTACCTGAAGACTTACAATTTTTACGGCGAAGCTAAGGCGAGTATGATTTATAATGCCCAACTAATCGTCTGTTAATTATATTACTACGCGATCGAAAAAAACGTATAGTAATATTAACAGAGTACACTTTGTATTAAATGTTAACTAACATATCTGTATTTCTAATTATTGCTCACACGGATCGATTTTAAAAACTTTTAAAATCAAATAAAAACAGAAGGACATTTTAAGGGTTATACGCCAACAGCAGATATTCGCTGCGGAGCTAATACCACCTACTTGGAGTTTTAAAATAGTTCCCTCATTTACACATTACGATAAGGTTACTATTGTTTATTTTGAATTTCAGTCCTATATCTAGAATTTTGCATGCTTGCATTTTTTTTTTCTGTATTTTTTTCGTTGTATATTTAATTTGTGGTTTTTCATATTAAACCTCTTTTTATTTAGTTAATAGCTACTTTTCTTATTCCTTTGCATTATTCAAAAATATAAATTTAAAATCCGTAATCCGATTACATACAGAATGAATCGGGTCTATTGACAACTATTATAACTTCTAATGTTCTTACATTTTTCAATTTTTATTTTTTTCAATCAATTTTTACAAAATTTGGCTACGTTCTAAATTTATTATTAAGAGATTTAAAGATACTTGTAACTGTTAATTTTAATTCAACTGTTTGATTGCTAAAGCTTTTTGAAGTTGATGAAATTTGATTATTTTTTCGCTTTTTCTATAGCACCAATTTTGATGTATTTAATGTAGTAAAATACAGAAGATACCGTTTATTTTTATATTAGATATTTGTTACAGTATTGTCTTTTTTCCATTAAAATTATTGATGTCGAGCGAGTATATCTCTGAAATAACTACAGACGCACAATCAGTTGGGTTTCTATGCATAAGATAATAATATAGTGTTTTCTTTTGTCCTGTTTTACATAATACAAAACAACGTTTCATACTATAGAAAAAGCTTAAGAAAATTAATACTTCAATAAATTTCAAAATACCGTAGTAATTTAACAGTAAAAATTAAGAATATTTATTTGGTATGAATTTTTTTTTAATTATTTATAAAATAGCTATCTTGAAATCTTTAAAAATAAAATTATATTTTCATGAAATGAAAAAAAATTAGTGATAATAAGTTAAGAATGTAGTCCAAATCTGAAAAAGTGATTCAAAAAATTTTTAAAGTGAAGTATGTAAGTTGATTAAAAGTTATGAGTTGTCAGTTAGACTGTTCAACTTTCTATATGATAACACGATTGTATTGTGTATCAAGCAGTACTCAAAACCGAAATTATTTTGATTTTTCGATCATTTTTACCATACCTAGTTAGTTGATCTATATCGAAATTTTTTTAATAATTTGTAAAGTTAATATTTGTAAAAACCGAAGTATTATGAAATTACCTATTAAATCATAACCAAACCTAAAATTCTATCTTATAAAGATTAAAAACTGTAATTATAAAGTCTAAAAACTTTAATATATATATTTTTTTAGTTTATCTCGATTTTAAACTTTATAAGTTATAAGTTCTGTTAGAATTTCAAAGACGGTCAATAATAATTTTGGTTTGTCTAATCTTTTTTTTAATGCGTAGGTACTAAGACAAAATTCGATGTAGATGAACTAATTTACTAGATATAAGAAATATTGCCAAAAACCAAAATTATTTCAATTCTGCGCCTGCTATTAAGAAAAATTACTAAAAATCGTCATTAATTTGTATCACAATATATAATCTTTAAAATTGCCTAGCTATCAATTTTGATTTACTAAAAGTGTTTAATATTAAAATATTTTTCATTTTAACGTAGACCTTGAACTGTTGTCATTTTTATTGCTTTTAGCACGTTGATTAAATTGTTTTTTTCAATCAATATCTAGTGGTATAACCTATATATATATATATATGTAAAATTATAGTATTTTATGTTTTATTTGTCGTTTAATGTATAATAATTAATCATTGTTAAATTATATAATTTTTAACCTATGTTTTTAATTATCATTTTGATAATTTAACATGGTTAAATATGGACTATATTATATATTATTTACTAAAAAAAGTAAATAAATACGTATCGTTACCATTGGTAACTTATCATGGGTTTTATTGAAACCTTTTATTTCTTACCTAACATTCGAATATAAAAAAACCCAGCACAGGGGGGTCGCGGCACAGTGGTGACGTGGCATAGTTGGATCAAGTATAATGATATCTGACAGTGATTAAAATCACTATAAAAAAAAAACGCTTCGATGCAAATCTTTAGATAGTGTTTAATTTTAAAAAA